GAGGAGGAAAACCCGATCATCAATACATAAAAGGTCAAAGCCGGGGCCTTTGGGGAGTGCTTTGCGGTGTGCAACTTGTTCCTTGGAAAGAAGCCCCCCTGCGCGACGAAGAAGAACTGAGTGAGCATGTTGTGCTGTTTCGACGGCAAAGTTCGTGCCCATTGCTAGCGTCCTAAAACATCCCACCACTTCAGCATCATGCAGCTCCTCCCTGTAGGCCTTCCAACCCTTGAAATCGTGACCATAAAAGATGCCATGAATGTGGTCCCTAGCCGCGTGTCTATCGTCCACTAGAAACCCATGGTAAAAATCTTCAAGATCATCGGAGCTTATCACAAGGTTCTTCCCCGCTGGGAGGTAGAGCTGGCAGAGAAGCGAGGCATGCGCCAAACTCAGCGTAGCATCGGATACTGAGAAAGACCGCCCGTTCTCGGGGATCGGGTTCAGGATCTGCCGGTCAAACTTATCGTTCTTATATACCGCGAACAGCCCACAACGGAACTTGACTTCAGATTCAGAAGCACGGAGTAAGTATAGTGAATCAACCTCATCCCATGTGCGATATAGCTCCAGCTGGTCTGATCGGCTGGCTTGAACCCGGGCCCGTCCACCAAGAAAGGCTCAGCTTTGAATTGGGGTGCGTGCTCAAACTTGAGGCGCTTCGGGTCAATCTGGAGGCTGCTGGTTTGGGCCGACGAATTCAAGCTGACCTTCGTAGGCGAAGCTGCCGAGGGCTCACTGTCCACGCTGCTGAGCTCCGCTTCTTGACCTCGGGGCGGCTTGCAGTAAGGCTGTAAATCAGAGTACAAACGAGCACCCATTTGATGTAGTACTTGAAGCTGTTTGTCAATCTGGTCGTATCTTTGAAAAGCGCGTTCCAACCCGCATTTAGGCCCTTGCGCTAAGCGGGTCCACACTGCGGCATGCCTCTCCAGCCTGGCGAGCATTTGTAACTGCTTGGCAGAGAGGGGCGGCAAGTCTGCGGTGGGAGTGCCCGCTCCCTTGCACCAACCAATTGCCCGCGGCCACTAGGAGGCGGGTGAATGATCGGCAGGAATTCCGAAAGTCCCAGCGCGCCTTGCGCCGGCCTGTAAGCCTCGTACGAGGAGCAGGCAAAGGGTCAGGAATGGAGCACGGCCACAGTACGGTGGAGCTTTGCGAGGCAGAGCTCGAAAACGGTAGAGCTAAAGACTTTGCAATATAATTCGAAAGCCGGGTGTGGGACTTGACCAAAAACTTCAAGAGATGTGTACAACGCCGAGAAGCAGTCACATACCCATCTAACCCCGAAGGAAAAAGTTCAGGGAGGAACCAAGTTGCGGTCACTGGCTGCTTGAAGCGGCTGCCTCCTGCTGGTTCTTGCCGCCGCGGCGGCCTCTCCCCTTGGGAGCTTCTGGGCTTGGAGCCCCCGCTCCCAGCTGCTGGCCGTGGGACTTCTGAGCGCGGTCCTGGATGGTCTCGACATCGCGAAGATACCCGAGCTGGGCGGCTATCCACCTCGGATCGGACAGCATCCCGTGGGGGATCTCGGCGCGCGGCGCCTTCCTCTGCTCCACCACAGCAAAGGGAGCCTCTCGGCAGGTCAGGAGCCAAGCCAGCGCCGGGCCTGAGCCAGCCTCTCGCGCACTTTCGCGTGCACTCGGCGAGGGTGTTGAAGGAACTGCTCCCGCAGCAGCTGTCGAGCCGCCATCCCTTTCACGCCGGCCACCTTTGAAGACTCGTCCGAATCGCCGGCGGATCCAAGGAGGTGCAGCGGGTCGTGGCTTTTCCGAGCCGAGGCGGCGAGCTGGCCTAAGATCTGAGTCTGCTGGGGCAACAGACGGCTCGGTGCCCCCCGCGGTGACCCCGGCAATGCCTTCGTCGTCCTCCTCGTCGAGTCCAGCGCCGGCACCCAGGACAGTACCAGGGCGGATCTTGGGAGCCGCGGCAAGAAGCTTCGGAGCGGCCCGGGCAGTCGCAGATGGACCTGGCAGGTCCCCCAAAGTGCGAGGCGCCTGCCCCGCCAATTGAAGAGCTGATCCACCTGACCCTGGCTGAGCTTGGCATCGGCACCCTCCTCGAAGAGTTGCGGGGCCCATCCTGGGAGCTTGGCGCCCCTCAGCAGTGGGTGCTTCGGCCCCTGTTCCGCAGAAGACGGGGCGCTCCGTTCTTCCAGCACCGAAAGCCGGGCCTCGATTGCATCCAGGCCGCTGAGCCGTTGCTGAATGATTTCGCCCTGAGTGCTCGTCTGGGCCAAGATTTGCTGGAGGAGCTCGTGCTGGATGTTGTCCTGGTCCACAGGCTCCGGAGGATCGTCGTGCAAAGCCTCGGCCCCCGAGCTGCAGGTGAAGTAGGGCTCCAAGCGTTCGGGTACCTCCTCCAGCTCGTCGCCGTTGATGAAAACCTCCAAAGCGTCCAAAGCGCCCTTGCCGATGGGCCACACATTCTGCAACCGGTGGGAGCCGAATGAAGTCAGCTCGCCCGCCACGGTCAAGGGAGCCTGGTCGCTGAGCATGGTCACGCCGGCGGCGTTTATGTCCACGAGCAGGCAAGCGGCGGTCTTCTTTAAGACTTTTCCCGAGGCCGTCATGACCCCCAAAGTGGTTCCCGTCCACGGCCCCAAGGTGCCGTCGTTGGCAGTGGCCTCGTCCAAGTCGGTCTGAGGGATGGCTGTGCGAGGGGTGCATAATATGAACCCTGAGCCCACAGCCCGAACCACGAAGCAGTGGGATGTCCGATCCCCATAGGTCAGGAACAGCTTGGTGTAGTCGCCGTCGGCGGCCGAGCACCATCCCTTCAAATAGTCGAGCACGGAGGGCTCGACCATCACTGAGATCGAGGAAGGCTGGGGAGCCCTGCTCCCAAGCAAAAAGCCTCTGCTTCGGAAATGCTGGCAAATCCGTGGGAAACGGAGGCTGGGTCAAACGCCTTGTGGCTTGACCGTGCGGAAGTAGAGCTCGGAGGAGTGGGTAAAGAAAGGCCTGTCCACGCGGTCACCTGCCAAGATCACGTACACGGTCCTGCGAGAACTGATGCTAGCACTCTCGAAGCACCGGGCTTCACCGATGTAAATGCGAGCGGCCTCCCTACCCAACTGATAGGCAAGGCGGATCCTGCTCTCAGGGCTGTGTCCACTCAAAGGGGCACGAAGGTGCCGGGCAAGGGAGATCACTCGGTCCGAAGGGATTTCAGGGGCCGACTGAATGCCAAGTGGCGCCGTCGAAGGTGCCGAAGAAGCTGAAAGGCGGGTAGCCGCCGGAGGTGCCGAAGGAGAAGAAGAGCTGGTGGCCGCCGCGGCTGCCGAAGATTCCTGAGAACTGCTGGTGCGGGTCCCGGCTGTATCCGGAAGAGAAATCTGAATGGTAAGGCTGCCGAAGCGTTCAATGAGGGCCTGAAGATTCAGATCCAGGTTAGGCGGTGTGCCCATGCACACCTCGGTAGCGTGCCAGTCGATCCCCGCCTCCGGGGGAATGCAGCTCGCGAACGGCTGCTCCCAAGCAGCTCCAAAGGATGTTCCGGATGCTACGTGACAACACCAAGGCAGTCACGGCACAGCCGCAGAAGAAACCGCAAAACCAGCAGAAGATGATCAAGAGAATCCAATCGCTGGTATGGCTGCTGTTACAACCTACCCAGCCTAGAATGAAGGGCCAAGGGCCCGCTCTCTCGAACATCAAAGAAGCTGCGACAGCAGAGACATTCACTCGGCAATCCATAGAGGTCAGGTCGTATACAGGACTGCTATGCAGTGCACGATAACGGGATCAACCGTTGCTACGTCTGATGTTTCTGCAGCTTGCGCTGCATCCGCGGCAGCGGTCTTCCGGGTCAGTGGGCGCAGCTGGGGCAAGCGAAGGGGTCGAGGCTGGTTCCATGTTCTCGGGCGCGGCGCGGCGGCCATGTAATGTAAGTGTTCCGCACCGTAAGTGAAGTTTCAATAATCTGCGAAAATACTGTGAAAGCTGTGACTACAAGAACGGAATACTGACCTAAATCAAAACATAATGGCGCCATATGCGAAGTAAAACAATGACTGTGATGCACCTAGAAGTACTTGGTCTTTGCGCAAAGCCCACTTGGGCCATAAAGGCTCCCGAAGGCTCGGGATCGTTCGGCTGCTCGAGCCATCTCGAGCCTACTAGCGATAGATTCTAAGAATTCTCCATTCCCGTTCTGTCCTCAAGTCTGGCGCTTCCCATTTCTGATTCCGGATTGGGTAGTCGGTCTATGTAGTTCTTTTCCAGCACATGCACCATAAATTGACAACATAATGGCACCACGTGCGCTATCGCCGCATGTCATGTGAATAACCATGATTTACCCTAACAGCTCTAATTGAACTTAAGCTAGGCACTTCAAGACCAGCAACAAGTGTGCACCAAGCCCTCGCGACAAGTTTCATGAACTGCCTGTCTTTGTCACCAAACCTTCCCAAAGCAGCAGCAAAGGTGCTGCTTTGCCAGTCTCACAAAAAGCACGCTGACATGTTTCCAGGGCGGGTTGAAACTATGCATGGATGATGCGTCGCCAGCGAAGCTCTGCCAAGCTTCCAAACAAAGACGCACAAGGAGGGCGAGGGCCTTCCGGCGCAGTTTCGGCGCCCAGGCCCGAACATGTTTACAAAAATATCGAGCTGGCCAGAAATCGCAATGCTTTCCCTGCATGGACGTCAGAAATCACCAACTCATTTGTCCGAAGGAGATATTTGGGTTTTTGTACATCTTTGGTGTGCGTAATGACTTAAACACGCAGCACATGTCAAGCGTCCGACATGACACACCGGGGGTTTGCTGTGCGCCTTAAGTCTTTGAGATCTTTAAGCTTCCAAGGTCAAAAAGACAAGATCCCAAAAATCGCATAGGATGAAACACAATTAAAACAATGCTGTCGAATAGAATTCCTTAGCCACGATACTGTCTAGACATGTCTTGACATTCGAAGCACTGGCTGACACTAAAACTCTGGGAGTATGGCTTCTGCTGGAGATTCCTAGCCGTGCTGCGTGCCACTCAGCGCCCGACTGCGAACCCGCAGACATCCCAGGACATTCTTGAATGCAAACAGGATGCTTCAGGTTCAACCTCACGATTTGAAGTCAGAATGACTTCCATGCACGGCTGAAGTCTTGGCAGGCGCACGTCGCTGGAGTGGTGTTGAACTCCCTCTCCGAGGGGTCGTCTCGACACCAAAACACGAAGGGCTTCTCCTTGCGAGATCATACCCTCTGCTGGACCCTAGCTACGGAATATGTGAAGCCTCCACACCGTCGTCGACCCCGCATAGACGAGCCTGGAAGGAAGATGAACTCCTCTTTGCAGCTACCCTGACGCTGTACCCCTGTACCTCTACCAATTTCCGAACCTCGAAGTCCATTCCATGCGTCAGTCGGCGAACATCCGAATAGGCGCGTCCATCCTTGTTGCGATGATTGATGGTACACAAACAAATCACATCAACCGTGCAACTGAGTCGTCGACAACGCTTCCATTCTTGACCACAGTCAGAAAAATCAGCATGGCAACCAAATAGAGGAAGAACAACAGCACACCTTAGTTGCGATTCGCGCCAAGATAGGGACCATGATCCCCAACTCCAGAGCTGTTGGCAAGAACAAAGAGCTTAGGCTCCAGCAAACAAGATCTGTGCATCTTCTGGGGCCAACTCCAGAATCAGGATCTACTTTTTGGAGGCTGTCTTTGGGGCCTCCGGGGCAGCAGCGAAAGAGAGCCGGCACACAGAGTTCAGAGTTCAGAGCGCCCGGCTTCCGGAAGCACCCGTCTTGCCCGCACCCTCTGTAAACTGCTGGTAGTCCATGTCCCCCACCATGCCTGTCGGCCATGCGTCTCCAAAGAACGTTCAGAGGCCAGGGCCTGGCCTGAGCCCATGTCTCCATACCTTCCAAGTGCGCTCTAGACATCGCACCCTGCAGAACCGAAAACCCTCTCGGGCCAGCTGGGACAAGCACGAGCCATCAGGACTTGCTCCGTAAGAGGAGCTGGGGCTGCCTCACGCATCTTTGGGCTTCCATACTCAAATGTGCAGCAAAGATCCAGCCTTCCATCCCGGGACTGGGCTGACCTTCAGAGGGCCTGGTCACACGCTGCCTACGACAAAAACGTGGCACCACCAAAACGAAGTGCAGCCCGCACCCCAAGTAGCTTGGCTGCGGTGGCCCGTACTCATCCCCAGCTGGAGCCACAGGCATGTAGCCTGCATGGCTGCATGGGACTCTTTGGTCTAAGCAACGCTCCCGGTAGACAGCGAATTGGCCTGCCGGCTGCCCGAAAGGAGGTCCAGCATAGCCCTGACGTGAAACAAGTCTCTCTGCACCACTTTTTGTGGGCATACGCAGCAACTATGTTGACCGCACCATCGGCTGTCCATTCATATGCATGACGCTTCTGCACCGATTGAGACCTGAGACGTATCAGGAAATGCTGTCAACATGGCAGCGCCTACTGTCCAACCACAAGTTCCCAACGACGACACTTTGGCAACTCTCGCTGATGTTGCCGGCTTGTTTCAACCTCCCACATGCGATTCCCCTCTCACCGACAGGCTCCAAAACGCATCATGACTCTGGGTCACCAGCTATGGCCCTGCACAGGGCCCTGCCCAGCTTTCTAGGAGTTACCCAGAGCCAGAACAGCTGTGGTGATCTCTGGACAGGCCATCACACATGGTGACCACTGTGGCTTTCGGCATTGCATCAGCCACTGCTCCGTTAAACGTCGCAAAACCCTCCGAAGCTGCCCCCAGATGCTTTGTTCACCAATGGGTCCTCTGCACGCTGCAGAACGGCTCCCAACGGTACACTGATAGGCACACACACACACACACCTTTGCTTTCCAAGGTTTTTCATGGCGATACAACAGTCAAGTGCTAAGGTGAGACTTGCAAATTCAGCACAAGCACAAACACATCATGTCACTCACACTTGCACCAATGCCTGGTCCATCGTTCATATTGACCCTACTGAATCATACCGGCATGTTAGACTAGGCTGCGCATGGCGCTGTTGCGGCATCAACATCATGGGGCACTTCAGCCACTCCGACATGCCTCTCTTTCGCGTGCCCATGCCGCATCTGCTGGACGAAACCTGGAACAACGCTCGTGAATCTCCTCCCTATACCTCCCACTCCCGCCCTCCCTCCCTCCGTCCCTTCCTCCATCCCCCCTCCCTCGCTCGCTCTCTCTCTCTCTGTCTTTTTGTTTTTCTTTCGTCAGGGTTAAGGTGTGGGGTAGCCCCACTACACCGCGCGCGGGTGCGCCCCCGACTGTTGCGGGCCCGAGTGAGTTTCACTCACACTGAGAGGCAAGCTGCATTCACTCACTGCATTCACTCACTTGCGGTAAGAACCAACAACTAAACAGCATGGAGTAATGGCCTAACAGCAGCAAGAAGAACTCGCAGTACAGATTTCAGTGAGTTCATGCCGCAGGGGTTGCCCCGGAAGCCTTGTCGAAACAATGAGTTCGATGAAAAACCACAATAGACTGCACAACGTGATGGGCCTCGGGTCTGAGCGTGTTGGTGCACTTTCAGAGCAGGCTCGAGAAACATTCAGGGCAGGTACAAGGGAACATAAAGGCTATGGAGGATAAACGGAGCGTTGGGCCCGCATCAGGTGTTCACCTACACCCCCTGTATCTGCCAAAGTCATGTGCTGCAGACCCAGTCAAAGGAAGGCCGAAGGGGTGCAAATCTATAAAGGATTTACAGCTCTCTTCTTCCACACAGTCAAGAGAGAGGCACGATACCCCTCCCCGCGCGCGGGCGCGCACTGGTTGTTCGGTCTCAGTGGTGAAAACTCACCCGATGAGGGCCCAGGTTTGCGAGCAAGCAACCCCCTATCTAACTAAATTCAACTGCCTGGCCTCTTCAGGTCCACACCAGCTCTGGCCCCCCTTTCGCTGCTTGTTTCTTACTCACAGCTCTTGGAGATCTCGCTCTCTCTTCTTCCTATCGCTCTCTGTTGTGTCTCTGATCGTCGCGCAAATTGAACTTGTCTTGCCTGTGCTGCAATGCTAAGTCCTGCTTCTGACCTGCACGGTATTGCACGGTGACATCAAGCAGGTTCAGCGCATTTGTCAGGCTCCACAGTGCCTGCTGCAATTCTTTTTGCCGAGGACCGCACGAATGATTTCGGGACTGCGAAACTCCTGGCGAGATGTCAAGCAAAGCCTGAACCTTGACTTCTTCAGGCACCAGCTAGGTTGACGACCCTGCTGTTCAGCAGAGGATGTGCTAAAACATTGCCCCCCTTCGCCGGACTTCGAACATGAGGCGTGCATGCACCTGTTTTGGCTGGCCTTCGGTGTCTTGGCACGGATCCGACGCGAAGGAACCACTCGCCTCAGGGTTATGTTCAACCGGAACAGCCCCAACGACTGTTGGTGATGCCGGACAAGGCACGGTTCTGAGCGAAACTCCAGGACAACGAACTGCTTAGCCTGAAAAGAAATTCATGCTGAAGCTTTGCACTTCAGCTCCGTTGTCAATGCCAATGGGCCCCTATTGACGGGATCAGGTTTGGCCGGCGTGTGAACATCTGCTTGAATATCAATGCAAAAGACCGATGCTGTCGCTCGACGCAATAGACACAACGATTACACGCAGGACTCGTCTGACCTCTTGTCGTACAGGCCCACCGACCGGTCGGCTGCCACCAGGAGCAACGCGGTACCTCGGACCTGAAGAGCCACTACAAGATATCTCCAACTTCTGAAACTGGCGGTACTGTCGCCTTTCGTCTGCTGATGCTGCTCGGTCTCGCCGATGGTGCGATCCTAAGAGCAGCTGCAACAGCTGAAACATCTTCTGTAAGAGCACTTCATTAATGACATTCAAGTCCTCTCCGACTCCAGCGTCTGCGACCACTCTCACCTCAAGCTCCATTCTAAATACCCCTCTCTAGACTGGCGGCAAATTCTTATAAACAGCACCTCTGTGCACTGCCCTCCGACTGCCCCGGCTTCCGGGTAGCCACACGAAGACCTACAATTGCACACACTCAACTGAGTGACTCAAAGGTAACCAAGTGGCAAATTGTCCGCACATGTGTACGCACGCAGACTTATCGATCTTTTCCCGAAGAATAAATCTTCCCTCGTACAGCTTTGCTTCGGAATGGTATCAGAATCAAGAACAAACCTGCTAAGCACAGTGATGATTCGGCCTTGCCGTCTTCACAGTGCTTCGTCGGGGGCTCGAATGACCTAACACATTGGAGGCTTCACGAGTGCAGACGAGATCAACTCTAAGAAGATGATTATTGCGATGGCCTGGAATTCTTGACGATCGCGCAGGCAAGAAATCTTTCCAGGAAATGTGCGACCTGAACCTGCCGACCACGGACAGCAGACTCGATGAAACACGATCTAGCTTCCATGCACTCCTGGAGGCTCGTGGGGCCAGTCCACAGCCTGTGATACCAGCTATAAGGAGCGCACGAGTACAACCTTGCCTAGGCCTGGCCTCCACTTCCGAGGATGCTCGTCCTACAGCGCAAAATGGATGTTCCCTCTGCCACGGAACTCTGAAAGGAATGGTCCTGGGAAGTTTGGTGCTCATTGAAGCCGGCAGGGAACCCAACTGCGCCCTGTCTGCACGCAAGGTTTCAAGATTCACAAATTTGGCGCGCTTGCCGCTACCTCTGGCGAGGCCACCCTGTGCGTTCGCCTTTAAACCTTTAGATTTCTCTGACGGCAGACTTGTGAATACAGTTGGATGCAGTAGGCATGGCAATCGCCAAACCGAAGCTCTGCATGGAGAAACCATCTGCAGACTGGAAAGTATTCTTTTGCTCGCGTACGAAGATGACTAACGTTGAAATGTCGGAAAGCGTATTGTCATCTCCCTGCTCTGTCCGGCCTTGAACTGGATGTGCTGCTACTGCCAGATTCGACGTGGCTCGGCTTCGACGGTATGCCCTCCGTCGATACTCGAAAACAAGCATTTCTGAAAGTGAGCACTGCCAGCCATGCACCTGTCGGGCTGTGGCTGCAAATCCTCTCATTCCAGCCAGCAGCAGGCACTCACCTGCCAGATGCTGTAAGCAAACAAAGACATTAAACCATCCAAGTCACTAGCCGCCAGCCCTAGCCTGACGTTAGCGGCCGGGAGGTCACCTCGAAGATTAATTTCTACTCCCCATGCCTCGCAATTCCTCCGTTTGAGTGTGAAAATGTCGAAGGCCTCGCTGCCGGCATTGCACGAAGCCTTTCGCGAAGTCGACCACTCTCCTTGCAATCCAGCAATCGATACATTACGCGTATGACAGGTACAACGGTGGGGAGTTCGCCAAACTTGTCTGAAACATGCTCACCAAGTACAGCCCGGAACAAACTGGCCTCTGACTGACACGGCTCGTTCGGACGAAGACCTCACCTTAGCTACGTCATGTGCACATGGAACATCAATCTTTCGATCCAGGCTGAGATCTCAACCCTTTGCTGAAAACCAGCATCATCTTGACTGTCGTGTTCCACATCTGCAAACAGTCAGAAAGACAAGTCCTCTGGTGGTAAATTTTGGTTGCCGCCACTGTCAAAACAATGACAAGCCTAGAGAACCCCCATCGCTTTCGTCGTCGGTATCGCCATCCAACGAATCGACAGCAAGAACAACCTCAACCGGTCAAGCGGGAATGTTTTCTGCAGCATCATCGCAGATCAGTTTGGGCTCGCACGGGGATAGCTTGCACACCAGCACATGCCGTGTGCGGCCTTGGCGGCCTTGCATGTAGGACATGGGGCACACAAAGTTCAGTTGTGAGTGTTCGGTACAACTATGGAATGGGCCACCAAGGTTCACAGAGCATCTCAGGACAGATCAGCCTGGTGTGCTGGGCATCGGTCTGGATTGATCTGACAACCTGAACAAGCTTTCGGAACATGTGTCTTGCTATTGTTCCCGAACTCCCAGGCTGGCACTTCACCGAAAACATTGCTCACCAGATCATTCACCTGGCGTGCATGTTGACATGAACACGCGAAGTGCAAAAGGAAATCACTGCCTCCAACCAATCCTCAGGCCGCCTCGCACGAGAAGGCGCAGTGACCGGGCGCTCCTGTTTCTTGAGCGATGCTGCCAAAACAGATGCAATCAACACCGAAAACAAAAGGGCCCTGCCTCAATTGAAGAAATGCCCGGGTATGAAACCATTCAGTCTCGGACTGCAAACATTGGGGCCGAGAGTCTCTGTTTTTTTCGTCGCACACGGATTCAGAGTGCTGCACCAATGACATGACGACTACTGCATCTGAGTGAACGATGGTAAACCGGATGCATTCGTGCTGCTCTGTGGGTTGACAACATGGTTTGTCACTCGGAATGCCAGCGGCACATTGTATACGGGTGATGACACGTGGAAAAAAGCGAGGGACGGAAACAAACAAGACAAAAAAAATCAGTTAAATTTGTATGCTGGCCAGTTGCCATGACAGACAGCATGTGAACCCATAACTGTTGTCGTGCTTGACATGAAGAATACAATGCTAACTGATGATCATGTTTGAAAGTTCCCCCACCTCCGTCTTTGTGGGGTCGTGTGTCTCGCGCTTTGCGAAGAGAGCACCCAGGCTGGCAACTCCACTCCAAAAAAAAAGTTTAGGCACAAAGCTGCATTGTGCACAAGCGCTTGTCACGCACCAGCACATTCGAGAGTCCACGCTTGCAATTGGAGCGGAGTGCGGCATAGACAGCAATGAAGCCTTTGCCAAAGCTCCAACGCGGGACGGCCCCCATGCCCGTGCTGGTGTGGTGCTCGCAAATGCCGCTAAGCGCAAGCGCCGTCAAACCTACCCGGAGCTCAGCGCCGCACGCCGGTGCCGCTTGGTAGTTTTCGGCATCGAAGTTGGGGGCCGCTGGGCACCTGAAGCTGCCACCTTCGTCCGCTTGCTTGAGCGTGCCTGCCATCAACCGGCCCGCCACCCAAGCCGCCTGGGTCCTGCGTTGGAGCGGCGTCCTTGCTGTCGCCGCCCAACGGGCGTTTGCCACTTCCATGCTGCTACACCTCCCTCTCGCCAACGACTGCGGCGGTGGGGGCGCTGAACCCGGTTTGCACGAGCAGTTGGCTGACTTGCGCTTTCACGAAGCCGGAACGCAGTCGCATGCCTAACCGTGCTGCCTGACTGGCTCCATAAGGCGTCAGTGCGCGGGGACCGCACGTTAAATGAGACGGTCGCAAAAAAAGGTGCGGAGCGCGAACGCCGTCAGACCGTGACGATGACCGGAAATTTTAGAGCCGTTTACCGAAATTCCTTGCCCCTTTGCTCTTCCGTGGCGTTGGGCTGTGGAGCAGCTTTTCCGTTCATGGTACCAGCTTGGATTTATTATTTTAATTATTTTCTCAAGTGATCAAGTTTGCGCAAGACAGGAATGGATTGTTTCCAGCATTGTTCGCAGCTTCACCCTCCACAGCTCATGAAAAGAACATTCTCCTGGTTCGGTTGAGGATTTTTACGTCGCCTTCGCCAGCCATGGCCACAAATTCACATCGTGCACGAAGACTTGCTGGCGTGGTGCGTGTGGGCAGCTGTTTCTGCGCAGGCTCCTGCTGTGCAACGGTGTTGTTTGCGCTGGTGGGACGATTTGGTTTGGGCTTCACCCCCGGCCGCTCGTCGGCACAATGATGCTAACCGTGATCTCACCAGAAGCCATTTTGGACGACCTTCAACCATCTGATTTGTTTCCTACCACATCCTACCACTCAGCACCTTACATCGTAGGATGGGATGTTTCTTCAGCGTTGCACGCAGGAAAAAAGTATGGTCAGACATTGAACCTGGACAAGCAAATGCAGCCGAGGACCACCTGTATCTTTCCGTGGTGCGGGACTTTATCGGCGTGGCCCAGGTCGAGCGGAACGTCATTGTGTGACTGAAACCAGTCCTCCGGAGCTTGATGCAGCAGTCAGGGCTGGAGGTTCGGTCCTCCTGGATGTTTACGCTGTATGGCGCTCCAGCAGCTGTCTTCGGAATCAATTGCTGTTTTTTGGCTGGTTTTCTTAGGTGTTTTCTTGGATTTGAACCTTGCCGGCTATGGCTATGCGTCCGACACCTGAATGAAAGGTGTGGTCCCTGCAAACTTCTGGAACCTGCACTGCGCAAACTGGCCGGACGCTTGTCAAGCGGTGAATTTGATGAACCTGGCATCCCCAGCCCACAAGTCCTGCGCCTGGACAGTGACCGGCACACCACAAAGGCCGGCGGGCATTCATGACCTTAATGGTGCGTGGGCATCTGAATGCCGCTACAGCATTTTCCGAAGCGGCGCGGCGTGGTGATGTAGCACTGCAAGCAGTCTTGATTCAAGCTCGTCGTGTGCGAACCGGCAATAGTCAACACAACTTTTGTGAAGAATGCTATGTTTTTTAATTGCCAACACAAGTCTGTGTTGCAGCCGAGATTAATATTCACAGGTATGGTTCAAGGTTTCGCTTTTAAAGGTTCCTGGGTCCCTCCGAGGCGTGCAGGCCTTGAATGTGCTTTCCCGTTTGTGCTTGACGGCCAGTCCCAAACATGTAAAGCAAGCTTCATTGCTTGCCTAGCTGCTCGACCAGGCAACAAGTACAGGAACATGTTGCAAACGTTTTAAGCCTCTCCACGTGCAAGCGTTCCCATATAGCGAGCCAGCCATCCATCCTGACTTTCCATTATGAACTCCCCACACTGAACCTGACCATGTCTTCCTTGTCCTCAGTTCCTGCGAGCACCACTGCTTCCTGCGACTGTTGAGGCTTTGACAACACAGCACACATGCTTTGAAAGCGACAGAAGTTTCAAGCTGACCCAGGTCCTGGCAGCAACGCAACGTGTTCGTTCAACTGGAAGCGGTTATACATGACTAGTTGGCAAGCACGCTTCGGAACGCATTGTCACGTATTCTTTACTGTAAATATTTCCAAACACTTCTGCAACCGTGGTTCCCGAGTTCGGAGGTCGCAAGAACTTGACTTGTACACGTTCCCGATTGTCGTGTTCGAGTTACGACCGGCATCGAACAGACTTTTTTGTTTGGCAGGCAACTGCGTTGGGTGTGGAAGGCCTGCCCACGGTAATCTTTTTTAAGCACGGCTGGATGCTCAGAGTTTCGCATGAATCTTTTTGTACCAGTAGCACGCAAGCTTTTTTGCGTGACCGAGGTGTGGAGACAGGTCGGTTCGAAGGATCTGTGAGCCTGTCCCAACTGGAGGATGCAGCAGCTGCCGCGCTGGGAATGGTGGAGCTGTTAGGCGCTCCACATATGTTGCTATTGAGCTGAATGAGTGCGCTTTCGGTGAGCCGTGATGTGCATCAGACGACACGGGACTGGCTACAGAAGTCAGCAGCTTGGAGGACTTCTGTTTTGTTAGTGCCCGTGCTTCCATGCTAATCATGACGATGCCTGGGATAACATGACAAGCTACATGTGGAAGAAGGCGGGTGCCTTGCATTGTTGGAGCCTGAAGTTTGCGGTCGTGTGGATGCAGGGAGCAATCTTGTCCGTAGGAGTTCACTCAACCCACCGAGCGTTTTTTTGCCAGGAATTGGAGCTAACCGTGCAAATGGAAGATGTTCTCATGCTTGGTGTCCTCGGCAGCGGACCCGTTGGGGAAGCATTGAAGCTTTCTTGTCGTCGACAGAGTACTTCCTCTTGCTGTTTAGTACGAGTCAATATGAGATGAATGACCGACTGACAGTCTTTCTGCTTTCTTCCCTCGTGCAGTGGCTCATCTGCTTCTTACTGCCAGTTAGGCCAAAACAACAATCACGGAATGCAACTTATTGGTCTCATACAGCACCACCAACCGGACAGAGTCGTTCAGCCGGGCGGGTGCCAGCAAGCTGGACTTGGAGCTGCGCATCCAACCATCTTGTTCTTCTGCAATGGACTGGGCGCGGCCGCAGCTGTTCCGTGGTGCTGCCAAGTCGTTATTCCATGCAAACTGGACGCTTTCCTCGATTCTTGCCTTTAGAAGTATTGTTTATCCTTGGTCAATAAAGAGCTGGAGGAAGCTGTTGCCAGCAAATCTCCCCCTCGAGTTGCGCTGAGAAACTTGGAGAATGTGTAGGTTTTGCACAGTTGCCGCGATGTTGTGCGTCCCCGAGTCCAGTACGTGCTGAAAAGTCCTTAGTGTCCGGGTTTTGGCTTGTTTATGCCACATATTACAGAATCCACGTGAGAAGGTATGTTTCCCTTTTTTGACAAGAGAGGGTATCGGGAGTTCATGTGCAGGGCTGCTGTGCCATTTTGGCTCAAGCGTAGCACCCCCCCTCCTCTTTGGCACCGGCGTGCAGCTGGGGGGCCACAGGCGACCGCTCCTGGGCGTGGTGTGCACGCAGCTGGGGGGTTGCCGCCCGGAGGGGCTCGTAGCTGGGAGGGGTAGTTGCATGCCCAAAGTTGAACTCGAACTTGCGGGCCTGAAACTGGCAGGGGTTCTTGAGCAAGAGTTCTTGCTCCTGCCTGTGGCCGCCGTTCTGGCCGCGGGCGGGGTGCTCCGACCGGAGCCAGCGTCGCCTGCAGGGCCGCAAGTCGCGCCGCCGCCGCCCCCACCACCGCCTGCGCGGCGCACCCGCCTCACCCCCCGCCTCGCCACCTCACACAACCCCCTCGCGCCCAGCAGGCCGCCAGGCGTTGGCGCGTGCTCCTGTCCAGGCCAAGCCGCGTGCACCTGGCCGCCAACGCATGGGCAAACACTGGAACAGGGCCAAAAAGAAGCGGGGCGTCGGCCACCTTTGAACACAGGCAACAGGCTCGGCTTCGTGAGGGTTGCTCAAGCTTTGCGGCCATCCGCTGCTCACTTTTGCATTGCTGCCAGGACTGGCCCTGCGGCCGTCCGCCACCTCAACTTGTCATTTTCTTAGTCTGCTTGCGGGCACCTTGCTGGCAAGCACACGTTGCCGTGCTCTTGTCAGGCCGGCTGCTGCGCTCACCCTGGTGAAGCGCTTGCATTTGCCCCATTGCGGCTGCTACAGAAGGCTCGCCGTGCTGCCATTTTGTTGTTCGTATTTTTCTGAGCCCCCTTTGGCTTCTTCCTTTGCAGCCTTTCTGCCGCCAGGACCGAACCTGGCATTGAGCTGACTGCCATCTTTGCACATCCTTTCAAACCGGCTCTGCGAGGCTGCCGCAACAGGCTTGCCCCGCTGCTGCCCGTGCCTTTTGTATCATAGTACTTTCTCCTTAGGCCTCAGCTCGCAGTCCAGTTTTCCGTTTACCCTTTTGCACTCAGCTGGCCCGTGCGGCTGCCGAGCCTGGCATTCGCTGGCCACTTCACTTGCGCCGGCCTTTTGACGCCGCGCAGGTGTGGATACAGATCAGTGCTACTGCGAAGCAAGGACAGTCCTTTGCTTCGCTGTTGCCATGTCGCGCCGGACCCTGTCACCACCCTCCGCTCCCCCCTCCCCCCTGACCGTCCCCGAGAGCCCTTCCCGTCCGCAGGGGACCGTACACCGTTGGTGCCCCCCGCTCACCCCGCTCCGGTTGCACCCACTTTGCCCGCTCTGCCTGGAAGACGTTCGCCCAGGCGTTCTCGGACCGCAGGCTGCCCACGACTCCGTGCTGCGCTGCAGCGGTGCACTTGGGCTGCCTGGTGGAATGCCTGCACCACCACGGCTACTGCCCCACTTGCCGCCGCCCGCTCGCGCCGTTGCACGGCCTGCATCCGCCACGGCGTCGATGCCGTGCCGACGTCCCTGCCCCACGATCCCACTACCCGCGCTGTGGTTAGTGATTACCGCCGCTTTTTCTGCTGCAGACGCCCGTGAGCCGTCCCGCCGGTCCATGTCCTGCCCCGGTGTTGCCATCGGTTGGCCGGCCCGGCATTAGACTTTGCCGAGCTGCCGGATCGGTCTATGCAATGGTCGCCCTTGCCGGTGCGAGGCTCGGGCGGCATCGAAAGCTGGGAAGCACGCTGGATTTGCATGCGGTGTCATGCAGAGCTGAGGCCTGACGAAGCTCCGCCTCCTGGAGACGCCCCCTCGTGCCCCTCCTGCGGCCGTCTGGCGGACTGGCAGGTCGATCTTCACACCAATCAGCGCGGCTGGGTATGTTGTGGCCCTGTTGCCGCCGCCTCCTCACGTGCACCCCCCCCGGTCGCGGCCGTGCGGAGTGTTGCCTACCGCGAGCTCGGCCCCCCGCTCCAGCCGCTTACAGCGCCAACCAACTCCCGCATCTACGTTCCGCTCCTCCTGGCAGCTGCCGGTCGCCTGGATCCAACGCAGTTGCCCCTGTGGGCCGCACACCCTGTGCTAGGCCAAGCCTGGCAAGCCGCTCTTGCCGTTTTCCGCGAACGACCGTTCGTGCCGGTGCAGGAGATCCTTGCGGTCGGCCAGCAATTAGTTCTCGGGGGGCAACACCTTTTGGCTAGCTAGCGAGCAGGTCCTGCAACCCCTCCTGGACTGGGCGGAGCGCCGAGGGCCGCTGATCTCCGTCAATACTGCAGTCGACTTGTACGCAAACCAGGCGTCTGGTCACTACATCCCCGCGCTCGTGCAGGAGGCACTGCTCTTGGTTTGGTTGGGGGAGAGGCGCGCCTTACAAGTCCTCCACGTCATCGATGGGTGGCGTGCCATGCCACATGGAGCCATTGACTGCGTCCCCCCGCCTCCACACGTCGCGCACCCGCCGGATGCACCCGCAGCACCTTGCTCAAGTGCCGCAGCGCTGCCGCCTCCGACGCCGCGCGGCCAGATCAAGATGCCCCCCATGCGAATCCTGCCGCCCTCCCTGCCATACTTCGATGATCAAGGTGGTTATTA